GCCCGGCTAGCTCAATCGGTAGAGCGCAAGACTCTTAATCTTGAGGTTGTGGGTTCGACCCCCACGTTGGGCGTTTCTCTTGCCGCTTTAGCTCACCTGGGAGAGCGTAGCACTGAAGATGCTAAGGTACTCGGTTCGATCCCGAGAAGCGGCAAATTTTTTGATACTCGATGGAGTTGGCCAATCTCTTTTTTATGCAACTAATTAAAAATCAACATTAGATTTGCAAATTTGAGAGCCTCACTGAGGGTCCGTCCGCATGGGGTGCCTTTGGCGATGGTCGTGGACCCAAACAAGATGGCTTATTATAATGAATTATTTGCACCAAATAATATTTTTGATATGGCTGTTGTATTTAATATTGAAGCTATAGGCGTTTTGCCTTGTTTGAGCACTGCTGATGCTGTCACTTGGGGGAACGGACCCGCTCGCTGGGTAGCCAAGTTAAGTTACCCAGCCGAGCGAGCTTCCACCCTCCTCTTCTCTTGCCTCGCAAAGCATGAGACTTGGGCAACTGGAATCTTTCAGTTACTTCATCAGCCGTAAGATCAGGACTTTGGGTTATCTTACAGGTCACGAACGGATTATGAAACCAGTATGTATCATCGAACGACTTGAGCAATTAATTACAGGACGACGCTGCGTCTCAGAATAAACAGGAAACCGCCCCCCCCCCCCCCATCAAATAGAAATAAATGAAATTAGGCACGTCAAGCAGATCAAGGATAACGAAATGTTTGACTTTTTTGATCAGCAAAAAACGGGGGAAAAAACACGAAACGAAACAAAAAAGTGCTGGGGATGCACCGGGAAGGGTTGTAGTAAAAACGATTGCATTAAGGTTTAGGAACAGTAGAATAAGAAAGAAGGGGATCTACCGCTGCTTCTCCCTATTCAAGAGAATGAGCAGAAGGAATCCAATAATCCTCGACGCGATCCCAAGAATGAAACAAAACACGTAATCACGGGTAATCTGGGTCAAGCTGTACCCAAAAAGGTCAGCCGAGAACTGAATATCGTAAATCCCCTTGTAAATAGATAGCGACGACGCGTAGTGAGCCTCAGCCGCCCACTTGTTAAAGCTAAGCTCAAACAGCCACAGAAGGTTCCATTTTCCTGCCTGAACAAGGTTCGGTCCGTACCCGCAAAACACAGCAGCAAATAAGCAGATAACGACAGCGAGAAGTGAGGCATTTTCTCTCCTTACGATCAATGAGACGATGCAAGACATGCCGTAGACGCCCCAGAATTGAAGGAAGACGAGAGCGTAGTGCTCAAAGACTGAGATGATGGGCCTCGCAAGGATCATGTACATGGCGGTAAAATGGAGAGACGTCAGAATAAGACGGTAAACTGTCGCAAGGGTTTTCCCAAAGTAATAGGCCATTTTGCTGTGTCCAGAGGCAGCCTCTCTCCAAAAAACGGTTTTCTCCTCACCGAAGACCTTCACACCTGCCGGGGCACCGGCCAGAGCGATAGAAATACCGAGAAGGAGACCATACAGAGACACCAAGTCAAGATAAGCGGGCGAGAGAAGAACGTAGATCCCGTCGTAGATACCGTTGAAAAGCTCCTTAACCTTCCCCTGTGTCGAAACGCCCATAAGCATACCAGCAAACATGGCAACAAAGATCTCAAGCACGAGAGCACCCATCGCACGGCTCTGCTGAGTCAATGATCGGTTGTGGCAGTAAACAAGCTGTTTCATCAGACTTGCACCACGCTCCTTAACGACTTGTGGGGCGAGACGGTGGAACTCAATATCCATCAACCGTGTGTCTTCATCCGAGGAGGATTGGTTTCCAAGCGGGACACCTCGACTGAGTGATTCGATTATAGAGTTGGCAATGGTGGCGTGCGACGGAACACGGCGAGCTGGGATGCCTCCTGAGATGCTTCCAGTCACAGACCCCTCTCTGGCGTGCACATCATTCGCAATCTCAGATCCGTTCATCGAATCCCTAGGCTTGCTGGCACCACGAATAGGAGGCTGCAAGCTGCCGCTATTACGGTTGAGCGAGACATGAGGAGGAGCCGAAAAGTGCATCTCGCCGTGTCCGTGAGAGTGGATCGAGTCGGTATCATTTGCGGGATGAGCTGACTGTGCAGAGCCGGGCCTAGCGTTGCTACGAGACCAAGGGCGTGGCTCCTCCTCATAAGGTTGCGGCAGAGACTTGTCCTCTCCATTTCCGGGGTTCACCGAGACAAGCCACTGTCCAACGACCTCGCTTGATGGGTTACGCGTGAGGACGCGAGAGCCGGCTTCCTGTATCGGTGGGTTGACATATGAAGCTGAACGGTAAAGAGCGCTGCCTTTCGCCGAACCAGTCTCCTCAGCCGTAGATTCTTCCTCGGGGTTTGCAAGAGGGTACTCGAGCAGGTAATCGCGGACCTTGCGGTTCTCCCAGGCGGCGACGAGTTGTTGAGGACCAAACGCGTAGCGATTGTTCCCAGCTTTTCCAGAGAGAATGTCCATAAGCACATCTGACATGTTGGCGGT